ATGTAGTGGCTGCTCCCAAAAGCGCTAGTCCTCTAGCCTTTGACATAGGTTTCAAAGCTTTGTCCAAACTCCTCCAGCCATCAAACCCATTGGAGTCCTCCACAGCTTCAACCAATTGCAATGCCCTGCCCCCCCCTCAACGAAGCTAAAAATCCATAGAGCTTGATGCACCTGGTTTTCTCCCCTGTAGTTGCCAAGTCCATATCAAAGCTCTCATTCGGTTTGTCATGAATCTCCTTCAGATCCTTCATGTAAGCCTCATCCACTGAGCTTAGATAGATCTCAAATACCCATGACCACGCTCTGAACGCTTTGATCTCTTCTTCTAGTGTGGGTTTTGTGATCAGCTTTGACCAATCAGTTGTTGTTGTCTTCTTGTCTTCAGCAGCTTTCTTTACTGCCTCAGCTGCTGATGCTGTTGCTTGCGTGCTCTTTGTTACGACTTTAAAGATTTCTCTTATCTCTTCCACCGTTCCCGAACAATATTGTCCTTTTGACACAGTGTATGGGGTACAGAGTGCAACTCACAACAGTTTATCACCAATTCAGCAATTTAGGTTCTAGGCTCCAAATTTTTGGCTCGACACGCTCCTGGGATCCCAGTGAAATAGGGGCTTCTCTCTGGAATTCAAAGAGGGTTTCCCTTGTCCCTGCTCCGCTATCATGCGAGTTTTTTCTTGATACTCGAAGGTCTGCGATACGGTCAAAACATCATGGAACAATACATTCACAACTGTGAGCTATGTTACAAATTCCTCACAAAACCCCAATGCCAAGGCATTGACACTTGAAAGTCCCCCAAGGTCGCCTCACACTCAACCAGGATGTGCACAGCCAATGAAAGCTCTTATAAACTTCCAAAGCGAACTCATACATGCAGAGCCGAAGAAAACCGTGTGAAGAGATATACATGATGAAAAAACAGCTGTGCTATTCAGAACTGACTCTTTTGTTTGCCAACGATCTTAGGATGAACTGGTGGGTGCTGGTTTGGTCAATTTGTTTGTTCGGCTTTCGGTTGGACTTTGGATGTTGCTTTTGTTTTTTTTGGTGACTGCGAGTGGCTAGCAAACAGTGTTGATTTTAAACCACAAAGCTTTTGTCTTCGGCTGTCCAAGCTGTTCAAGCTGTTCAGGGAACAGCTGTCGGTCGGTTTTTGTTGGCGAGCGACCGTTGGGGGAGTCATCCGCCATGCCGAACTTCACCGTGGATCAGATGCGACAGATCATGGACAAGACGGATAACATCCGCTCCATGAGTGTGATCGCGCACGTGGATCACGGGAAATCGACTTTGACCCTTGACCATCCGCCCGCCTTTGGTGGGTTAGAGTGAAGGAAGGGTAACAATGGCATTGACGTCCCCAAGGCACAAAAGTCAGGATGGTCCAATGGTGCTAGATTTGTTGTTTATTTGACACCACCCCTCTTTGCATGACCGAGTTCCAACGGATGAATCCTGCCAAAAAAAATGACAAAACTGTTGCTTAGTTTTTTGCATCGTCAAATTGTATTATCCCATATAATCATTGCAAAAGGGATGTGCAATGGTCAAACCATCCAAGGTTAAGTCTTGCGAGGTTGCGCATTGATTCATGAAACCCTTTCATTGTGGTTTGTTGTTTGTGGCCAGAGCGCGGCCGAACCTTAAAACATCTTTGTGTTTGGTAGACCCCGTGCAACCCATGTCTCCATGCGACGCCAAGGACCGACTCCTTGATTTGCAAGGCCCGGGCCACGATCCGTTCGTTTGAGTCGATCGGGTTGGTTTGTAGACAACATTTGTGATGGTGCCAATCCACTTGACAAAAATCTGTTGAAATGAACAACAAATACATACACACACCTTTTTGGTTGTTCATGTTTCCCTGGTCTGGGTGCCTGACGGCCCTTTCATAAAGACCCGGTTCATTTGGTCACGCTCCGGTTCCAACTATGAATTCTTTGGAATCCCCTTCCGTTGTGTTGGGAGAGTCATGTCCTCCACATAACGTTTCTGCGTTCCCCAGCAACGTCGTTTACCACTGCCGTTTTTGCGATGTGAGGCGGGCATCATCTCCGCCAAAGCCGCAGGCGATGCGCGCTTCACTGATACCCGGGCCGACGAGCAGGAGCGAGGAGTGACCATCAAGAGCACAGGAGACTTGGCGAGAGAACGGACGGATGGGTATGATCTGTAGAACAGGAACACATTCGGAGACAGCCTGGACAGTTAGAGGTGTTCTGAAACAACCAACCAATGGACATCTTCAAACAAGAACAGCTCTTATCATGTGATGTGGAAGAGAGGAAAGGTAAAGATATACTGCCACATCCAAATACAATAACTAAATGGAGAACATTAAATCATTAGTGGATTGTTGAAGTCTGGTCCGGTTCCGGTGCGGGTGCGTTGTGTAGCGTGTAGCACTGGATTGAAATGAAAGTCCACAACCCTAGAAGTCAGTTCTTCTGTTGGGACACCAATGGAGTTTGAGACCCCTCCGGTTAGTTTTGTGAGACACCACGGTCCAGTCCGAAGTCCTGCCGTGTTTTTTTTTGAGCACCCAGGAGTGTCGCTGTACTTCGAGCACGACGAGGAAGATGGAAAAGGAAGCATTCCCCACTTGATCAATTTGATTGATTCGCCAGGGCACGTGGACTTCTCCTCGGAGGTGACCGCCGCGTTGCGCATTACGGACGGTGCCATGGTGGTGGTCGATTGCATCGAGGGCTGCGCCGTGCAGACGGAGACGGTCTTGCGACAGGCTCTGCAGGAGCGAGTCAGACCATGCCTTTTCGTGAACAAAGTTGACCGCTGCATCTTGGAGTTGCAGATGGAAGCAGAGGACATGTACTCCCGTTTCCGCAATGCTATTGAGAACGTGAACGTCATCATTGCCACCTACAACGATGCATTGATGGGTGATGTGCAGGTGCAGCCTGAAAAGGGAACGGTTGCATTTGGCAGCGGGTTGCATGGATGGGGCTTCACCACTGAGCGTTTTGCCAAGATCTATGCCCAGAAGATGGGAGTGGAGAAGGAGAAGATGATGCAAAGGATGTGGGGAGATTCCTTCTTCAATGCCAAGAAAAAGGTGTGGACAAACGTGCAGCAGCCAGAGGGTTGCACTGAGCCTCTGCAGCGAGCATTCTGCCAATTCATCATGGGGCCCATCAACCAGCTGATGCGTGCAATCATGAACGATGACAAGGAGAAGTATGAGAAGATGATGGGCACCTTGGGCATTGTGCTGAAGGGAGATGAGAAGGCCCTCACTGGCAAGCCGTTGATGAAGCGAACCATGCAGATTTGGATCAATGCTGCTGACACCTTGCTGACCATGATTGTGACCAAGCTGCCTTCCCCGCGAACAGCCCAGAAGTACCGAGTGGAGAACTTGTACGAAGGTCCAATGGATGATGCTGCTGCTTCAGGCATCCGCAGCTGCGATCCGGCAGGCCCTCTGATGATGTATGTTTCGAAGATGGTTCCCACCTCAGACAAGGGTCGCTTCTACGCTTTCGGCCGAGTTTTCTCCGGAACCATTGCAACTGGACAGAAGGTTCGTATCCAGGGCCCTTACTACAAGCCTGGAAGCAAGGAGGACTTGCATGTGAAGAACATTCAGCGAACTGTGTTGATGATGGGTCGTACCACGGAGCAGATTCAGGATGTGCCTTGCGGCAACACTGTCGCTCTGGTTGGCGTTGACCAGTACATCCTGAAGTCTGGAACTATCACCACTCTTGAGGATGCCCACAACATCGCTGACATGAAGTACAGTGTGTCCCCTGTTGTGAAGGTTGCCGTGAAGGCCAAGGACGGCAAGGACTTGCCAAAGCTCGTGGAGGGCTTGAAGAAGCTGTCCAAGTCGGATCCTTTAGTCGTGTGCACCACGGAGGAGAGCGGAGAGCACGTCATTGCTGGATGTGGTGAGCTTCACGTGGAGATTTGCTTGAAGGACTTGAAGGATGAGTATGCTCAGTGTGAATTCATTGTCTCTGACCCAGTGGTGTCCTACCGCGAGACCGTGAGCGAGGAGTCCACCCAGACGTGCTTGGCCAAGTCGCCCAACAAGCACAACCGCATCTACCTCAAGGCCGAGCCCATGGATGAGGAGCTCAACAAGGCCATTGAAGACGGACCTGCTGGCCCCAAGGCAGATCCCAAAGAGCGAGCCAAGCTCTTGACTGAGAAGTTCGACTGGGACAAGCAGGTGGCCCAGACCAAGATCTGGTGCTATGGCCCTGAGACCGATGGCGCAAACATTGTGGTTGATGCCACGGTCGGTGTGCAGTACCTCATTGAGATCAAGGAGCACGTGAACAGTGCCTTCCAGTGGGCCACAAAGGAAGGGCCCCTTTGCGAGGAGAACATGCGAGGCATTCGATTCAACTTGATGGATGTGACCTTGCACACTGATGCCATCCACCGTGGTGCTGGACAGATCATGCCTCCAACTCGAAGATGCTGCTTTGCTGCAGAGCTCACGGCCAAGCCAACTTTGCAGGAGCCTGTCTTTTTGGTGGAGATCACTTGCCCACAGGAGGCCATGAGTGGTGTCTACAACTGCATGAACCTGCGCCGTGGTTGTGTTTTTGAGGAGAATCAGAGGGAGGGTACTCCTTTAGTCCAGGTGAAGGCGCACTTGCCAGTGTCCGAGTCGTTTGGTTTCGTGGCTGCCTTGCGACAGGCCACCAGTGGTCAGGCATTCCCCCAGTGCGTTTTTGATCACTGGGAGAACCTGCAGGGCAATCCTTTGGACAAGGGCAGCAAGATGGAGGAGTTGATCCTGAACATCCGCAAGCGTAAGAACCTGAAGGTCGAGATGCCTGCCTTGGGTGACTACTTGGACAAGCTCTGAGATGACTTGCTAGGACAGATCTTTGAGTGGGCAGATGTCAATTAAGACCCCCAAAAAAACAGCGCTTGGTCGTCAGCGCATTCCAGTGATGGCGTGGGGGGTCAGGCCTGGATCCCCACGGCTCGCTTGCAGCACTTGCACTCAATAACGCTTCAGTCGCTGTGTGGCATTGGGCTCAAGGCATCTCATCATGTAGCTGTTCAATACCTGATGCGAGCCGCATCCTTCCGCCCTAGCTGCTTCAGAAGGAATCGACACCGAAACTCGGGCCACGGGAAAGGAACCACCGGGAAAGGACCCTTGGAACAAGTTGGAGCAAAGGGCTCTCGAAGTATAACGGAGGACAAGCTCGAGTCTTTTCTGTTCAACATGAGGAGTCAGGAAACGCCGCAAGAAGCCATTCATGTAGTTGACATGCGATGCCAAACAATATACATTGATGGGGGTGTCTTTCCACCCTTCTGTGAAGTTGAGTTCTTTGCATTTCTGACCACTGTGTTCTGCCTGGACGCATGTCCGACCTCGGCGCAGTGCGGTTCGCGCCAGGGTCAATGCTTTTACTTTTAGAGACCCCGGCGGGGCTGGGGAAGCTCAGCTTCGGAGGGGCTGTGCGGAAGGAGATTGGTTTGGGCTGCCGGCACGCGTAATTGAACGATTTCGTTCTAGCCCCGCAAAGCCTCCATCCCCTGGAAAGTGTCACAAGCTGCTCCGACTACTTTCTTAGATAAACTACACTCCCTGAAACTGAAACAATCACGGAAGTGGAACATGGCCCCTTGGATGACAAGACGTGACTTTCCACTTCCATGTTAGTGACACTACTCGGAGTGTAACTTTCCGCAAGTCAGGTTTCGAGTAGAGCTGGGCGTCTCTGTCCAAGTTCGGAGCGACCGACCCCCCAAACGCCACGTTTCTCCATTTGAGAAACTCCTCAATTTGATGGACGATGCATTCCATTGAGCCTCGCGATTTGTTTCTGACCAACTTCCCACGTGAAAGAGTTCAAATTGCAAGTAGAAGGCACCCAACTTCTACAACCCCTACCAAAAGGTTTTTCATGGTGATCCTGTCATAAATCGTCAGCTCCTTGCCATTCCTGGCTCTTTCGCTCCGCGGTCCGCGAGGTACGCACTCTTCACGGTGAAGAACAAGAAGCTCCTCAAGGCGCCGAAGAGTCCGACGAAGAAGGAGACAGGGGTGCGGTGTAGCGAAAGAGCTTTCGTTGGGCGAAAGAGCCGGGCAGCGGCGTTTTGACGAAGTTTGTTTCGCGCCGACTATGACTGATTGGGGCAAAGTGCCTAGACGGGGGCAGCGGAAGTAAGTAGTGAACCAGTTTAGTCTCTCAATATCGGCGCCTGATGTGGGTGACGATTGGCGAAGTCTCGATTGCAAAAATAGCAGATCAGGAACCTGTTGGTTCACTCTTTTTTAACTTCTGTGGAAGAGGAGATCCTTGAAGATGGATTTTGTGATGAAATAGCAAGGTCCTCGAAGAGCCACTGTTAATAAGCCAGACACCTACCAGTTGAAACCGCCCTGTAGCCTTTTTGGATGTTTCGGATTCTGGTCCTGGTCCTTTTGGACCAACCTGGCCAACCTGAGATCCAAGGCCAACCTGGCTTCCCCCCCCTGACCGACGGTCTCCAGCACCATGATGAAAGGGGATTCTTCCGGTCTCCAGGCTGATGCTGACTCCATCTTCGAGAACTTCAAGTCCGTCACTGACGCCTCGTGGTGGTGCTCAGCGGACGGAGACTGACCCGTTGGTCCCGGACGGCGCCCGTCCCGGATGGCGCCCGTCCCGGAAAAGGATGGGGACACATCTACAAATCGACTCGCGATGGGATTCCAAGTTTCATTCTCACCCTTCCCCAACAATCATGGAAGTGGGAATGACCCCTGAGAGGATCACAGTACTTTCTCCAAGCAGGGGGCCATACCCACTTAGGGGGTTTATATATATATATATGTATTATTATACAATATAAATATTCAGTGTTCTTTCTCGCATGGAAGCAACATCTGCATTTTACTGACCCAAAACAAGCTTGATAATTGATCCCGCCATCGCAACCGGCATGCAGCAGTTCGATGGCAGTGACTGCTTAGTGCCCCTAGTGCCCCTGGTGCTCTTCAAGTGACCAAAGCCGTGAAAATTGGAACCCCGTGAAGGGAGCACCGGAGCTCTTTGGATGCCTTCAAACAACAAAAAACATCTGCCTCCTCACCGTTCTCTTAAAAGCGTTTGTCTCGCTCCGCATGGCCATTTTTCTTCAGGCGGCAAGTTGGGCTCACGGCCTTTCACAAGTTCGAAGATACCAAGGCAGCCATGGAGGCACTGAGAGAACATGGCCGCCTCGGGGCATGGGGCGCTGACCCCGCAGACCGTCTCTGTCCCCACGTCGATGTGAAGACCCTGGACTTGCTGTGCTGACATTCCTGTCACTGGTAATCATGGTAATCCTTGCGTAGGCAGATGTAGATTGTTGATTAATAAATGCCACCTGCCAGAATGGTTTTACATTTGTTCTTTCTGTTTGTTATCAGTCACTCAACAGCCCACGTTATTTCGCTCAGATCATGGAAGTTCGTGCCAGTTTTTTGCAAGAGTTGCTCACCAAACATAATCCCCTCCAATGGTTGTTGATGAAAACTAGAAGAAAAAATATCAGATCATTATCATATCCTCCTTTCTTTAACTCTCCTCTGAACATATCTGCCCTCCATCATCGAGACCAAGGAATTCCTTCCATTCTCATGCCTCGACTTGCTCGCGTGTTTCGTCTTGTGTTTCGACATGAGACCAAGGCCGTCACCGGCGCCGAACGAGCAAACAAACGCCCGTTCACTGTCCACTGGGCATTCGGAGTCCAGGCCTGCACTGAGCTCACGGAGTCCTCAGTGGGGAAGAGCCTCAAGAAGTTTCTGAAGAAGAGCCTGGGACGAAGCATTCCGACTAAAACCGCTCGGTTTGGGAGCTGACATTTGGACCGGTTTGGGCTCTTAGTTGGTAGGCGTGTGGAGATTTAAAGATCCTGGTGGATGTTTGGGAGAGCCTGGGAACCATCCCAAGAATGAGTTCTTGAAAAGCCACAGTGCACTGCCCCACAAGTGAGGTGCGTGCAACAGTGCAGACGACTTTGCAGACATCCGCATTCTCGTGTATTCTGGCACAGCACCATCCCCCCCAAAAGCGACATAACAGATCATAATCATAACAACAATATATAATCAGCTTTGTGCTGGTGGATGTGCGCAAAACGACTCGTTGCTTCGCAGCGTTCCAACGAAACTCACCGTGCGATCCAGGAATGTGGTCGACGCCGGGCTCGCGGACAGCCTGACAGCCCCTGGGCGTAGCCGCTACGTCCCCCATTCACGTAACGCCTCCGGTCCAAGTGGACTGGAAGGTGCCCATTTTGGACGTCTAAGTCTAAGTGAGATGGGCCATGCGATCCACGTAACTGACCGTCGAAGTGAGTGGTACATTGATCATGTCCTGGCTCGTTGTTTGCCTCAGACTTTTTGTTCCAGAAACCTACATGGCGTGACCGGAGGTGATTTTGCAGTGAAGTCGCAGAGAAAGCCTGGGGGGTCCCGGTGGATTTCATCATTATGAGGTCAGCATGTAACTTATTCAAAGACAGCATGTTGGATTGTACGAATGAGTTGATGTAAAGGTGGGGATGTTTCATTTGTGCGCATACTCTCTGAGAACAAGTACTTTTGTCTTCATAGTGCAGGAAGCACACTTCCGAAGCAAACTACCACAATCTTCCACTTCCTCTACCTGGTCTACCCCATGCAGGTCCTGGATTTCTTTTTTCCTGAGCCGAGCCTATCAGGTCCTGGACAAGCAGCTGGGAATAAACATCAACAAAAAACTTGGGATCGAGGCGGGACGCCCGGCCGGACCGGAAGAAGGATTGGGAGAGCTGGACTGACCCTGGATGAGCAGATTCGTGAGACTGATGTAAACCATCAACATACCTTGCTATGGGTTTTCCATCTAACATACCCCTTTGGCTGACTCCTTGCCTGAGGGGACCAACCATGAAACACATCAAAGGGCTCCGAACATCGCCTGCCCGCTTCGCCCGATTCGACCGGGTCCCGAGGTGTCCGTGATGAGTGACAACCTGCGCGAGATCATGCGCGGGGTCCGACTCCACCTGTCGGGAGACCGAGAGATTGACAGCGGAGTTCGTTGAGGATGGACCATTCGATTTTCCACAAAAGAAACACACAAAAAAAGGAAAAAGACACATCAAACAAAAAGAACACATTTTGCAGTTTCTTCAATGCATTTCTTCTTGATTTGGTTGGGGAACCGGGTTGGATTGGATTAAGGGAGGGGATTGGATCGGTGAGATTTGGGCAAACGCGTTCTTTGTTTTTCGTTTTCCTGGACGGACTGAAGCAATCGGGGCGGAGTTGAGGGGAAGCGCAGGTTTCTGTTTGAGCTTCAGCTCTGTTTGACCTGAGGACCGAGTTGATTGAAGGCCTGGACGAGCAAGAGGCCTTTTGTCCAAGGGCCGGGGGAAGGTGCAAGGATGCATGTATCATCATGTATCAAAGGCTGGCAATTCTGGTCCAAACTCTGATCTGTGATTGATCGCGTGATGAACAGATACTTTTGGCGGTCGAAACTTCTTGACTTATATTACTGTGTAGAATCCCTGAGATACACCTATAGTTTTACCTATGCCTTTGACTCTGACTCATTCCCAAGGATTTTTTCTCCTTTGGCGCTGAAGTGGCGTTGTGGTGCCAGCTGACTGACATAGATCAAAAATCAGCACAATTGCAACTTCGACCACGGCTGGCTTTGGCCGTTTTTCTTCCACGTTTCGCCGTTTCGCTCCATACAGAGCAGGTCAGAACGATGTCCTTGGGCTTGGCACATACCCTGCAGGGAGACTGAGAGTTGTGGTGAAAGCGAGGCAAAGCTTCATACAAACAGAGGAATCCAAATCATTTGCTTGTGTCGTAGGACTTGTGCCATGGCATCGCGACACATGTGCAAAAGCTTATCGCGACACATCGTTGCCTTTCTTGCTTTGAAACAGGTATTGCTAGTGTCAATGGCTCATAAATCATGGCAGTTCAATCGTTTATCACAGTTATTGCCATACCTGTCTACAACTGCTGGCAGCTATTTGTAAAGACTTGAGAATGTTTGGGGCGCAACACCGGTGAACTCAATGTTTTGCTTTCAATGCTGCTGGAGGATTTGACCCTTATGCTTTAAGGTCAAGAAGCGTACTTATCGTTCTTAGATGGGGCCGAGATACACTAGTATGGAAAACTCGTGAAACAACTTTGTGTTCAAGTCTGTGATGCCAATGGCACATGCCACTAGACACCAGTGGCGTCCCAAACAACATGTATACTGTATTAGATATATAACTTATTATAACATACAGTAACATAAACCCATAAGTTGTTTTGCTCCAGTTCCCCGCGTGATTTAGGTCACGCTTCAAGCTGAAGTTTTCACCAGACAAGGTGGATACCATGATCATCCAGGCGGAACAAACGGCTGGAAAAGGATAAGACAGAGGAAAAGAGCCAGCGAAGCAGACGCTGGGAGAGCCAACGTGTGAACTGGTGGAGTTTTGCCTTAGGCCTTCGGGATTTGTCCCAAATCCATTTCCGGGTCGATCCTTGAACTTGTGGCGCTGGCTCCAAGGTCCGACCAAATCTTACCTTTACAAAGTTTGATTGAAAGAAAGGTAGAAAGGTGTGGAAGCGTATCCTTCTCAAGAAAGGATGTCCCTTCCAGATTATAAAGGTGTCGAAAGGCAGCAAAAGGATGTGACATCTGGCCTGGCTTTGTCTTTGGGCCTGGCCGCGTCGGTCTGTTGGACCTGTTCGGCCTGTTCGGTCAGGGCTCCAGGTAGACCCCCTTGCCCCGAGGAGATCTGGTGCACTAGCATAAGTGACATGAGATTCCCCGTATCAATGTGATGCCTACAGTCTACAGTAATAGTAAGCAAATTCATGAGGTTATCCGCCCAAACGGGGCATACGTCTCACGTGAGAAGGAAGGAAGGCAGGAAGGCCTCCGATCAAAAAGACCATTCGGTCCAGCAACTGAGAACTGGAAAGAGAAAGAAAAGGGCAGGACTGACCTGGTGAACACAAACATGGATTCAACAAGCCAAGTTTTGAAAGATCCTTTTCCTCCTGTGGTGCTGCTTTTTTGTGCATGTTTTTGGAGTTATTTTTGTTTTGTTTTTTGTTTTTTGATTAATTTTTCCACTCTCCACGCGAGTTTTGAAACTGAAGCTCATGTGATGTTTGGAAGTGGGAGAAGAGTGTTTGATGAAATCAGAGGCTGTCGGGCTCTTGGATGACTTGGACAAGGAGCTCAACAATTTCGCGATGAGACTCCGAGAATGGTGCGATTAGACTGGTGGGGGAGGGATATGAAGAGCGGCCACCACGGGAGTTTCTGTTGGGAAGGCTTCCACGGGTACCTGGCTCACCAGGTCTTGTCATCAAAAAGCGAGCTTGTGAGACTCAGTGAGATCCACCCCCCCTCCGCCCTCGGCCCTCGTGGAACGTCGATTTCACCCAAGCTTGGCTGGGAACGTCAACCTCCCAAAACGTGGTGTTCCACACATACACCCGCGCGTTGTTTTGCACGCACGGTTGGACAGTCCGATGCTCCGAACCGGTGGCCTCCTCTCGCTCCGAAAGCGAGGGAAGAAGACGACCTGCGCAGGTATGGTTGGCACTTCCCGGAGATGGGGAAGATCATCACCGAAAACCTCGCCTATGCCAAGGCTGAAAAGCGGCCCTGCATCGTGGGCACGAGTCCGACCTCGAAGCGTTGATGCCAAAACGGGGCCCATTGGAAGAGCACCTTTGAGGTGGTTGTTGGTTGCTGAGGACGGGATCCTATACCACATGATGACTGCCATTTTGGATGCGCGGTCTCGAACATGCGCAGGTCGTTCGGCTCATGGGGCTGAAAACCAAGGCCAAGGAGGGTGCCCTGCACGGTCTGGGGGAGTGGGAGTGACTGACTGGGGGTAGTGCATTGGAATGGGACGGCAAAGGCCAAGTAGCAGTTGGATGGGCTACCGCGGGTAGCAAGGCCGCAAACGGCGGCAACCCATGGCGGAGTGATATAAGAGCTTCCAGGTACATTGGTCTCCGTGTAAGATGCTCTACATGAATCTTGTTACTAGTAGCTTTTTGTTACTAGTAGTAATGCCCTTGTTACTAGTAGCGATGCGCTTGTTGCTAGTGGCGATGCACCTGTTACTGATCGTCTATGGATTCTATGGCTTTGTTCCAGCCGATGATCCACCAACGCTTGCTCCGAAGCACGAAGCACGACATCCGTTGCTCTCGGCGTGGAGCTGAGATCGATCGTGGGATCCTTGGAACGGTTCCCGCAAAACAGGTCGATCGTCTTGGAGGCCACGTTGAACTGGAAGGGCCTGTGCCCTTGGACCAACCCTGTGAGAGCTGGACACACTTCTCCAAGGGCCGCCTCACCGCCTCGCCATCCGCTGTCGGGTGAACGGTGGAACGGCCGGTGAACCACCGGTGGAACGGCCAGGAGACGGACTTCTCGGAGGTGAACGTTCCAGAGGAGATTGCGGCGGAGGTGCGGAAACCTGCGTTGGACAGTGGGGTGGTCCTGAGAAGAGAAAAAGAGGAGGTTCAGTTGCTTGACCAGGTTCTCACTTGTTAGTGGTTGGACACATTTGGATAGCTAAAATGGGGGAATTGACTTGGTGACTTGGTGTCATTCTTAAACACCTTGGTGGGTGACTGGAACTATAGGTCGGTGAAACAAATCAAGTCAAGACCTCCAAAGCGTTGACAAGTGATTTAAAGGGATCACTGAGATCTAGGAAGAGTTGGAAAGGGAAGACTCGCATGTTGATCTCTTCTTGTTTTCGCCACTTGAGACGCAGTATTTACACTTTATTTACATTTATTTAAACATATTCTTAAGATAAAGGGATATATGACTACATAATATATGTATATATAGATTTTGGCAGGCGGTTGGTGAACAGTAGGTTTCTTGAGTGGAGGGACATGTCCATCAACAGCATCATTATAGATGAGCGGTGCCTGCGAAAGGGAGAGCCGGGCGATTCTGTTGGAATAGTCTTCCCGCGGATGTACTACGTGGATGGGCGACATGGACTGTGAAGCAGCATATAGCTGGTGTTGGGCGACAGTCTCACATGTCACATACATACACCGTTTTTCTTGTACCCAGAATTGGACTCCCAACCTTTTGGAAGACCAGCTTTTTGTTTCTCTCCCTCCTCTCCCCTCTCTGTTTACGTGTCTCTCGAGTCACCCTCCGTGTCGTTCTGAGGTGAAGCAAGCGGCGGAGACCTCCATGGTGCGGAGACCTCGTCGACCGGGACCGGCATAAGTCTCACCGTTGGCCACGAGCTTTTTGAGGTACCGACCGCTATCAAATGAACGTTTTACGAGTGGATGTCTTCGCAGTTGAAGTGGAAGGATGTTGCTGGGTTCCATGCTGCTGGTGCTAGAAGACCCCTAACATGTGATCACTCATCTTGATCAGCGAAGATGACAACAAGAAGGGTAGATGACCGTACGACCGGCTTAAGTCGTATCAATTGAAGGGAAGTTGTGTCATGTCTCTGTGTTGTGTAGTTTTGGTCAAAACCTCCCAGAACCACAAGACTTTGGTATTGTTCCCTCGTAGCGATTTTGTCCAGGGCACCGAGATCACCGATGAAGATCTGGCCGGGGCCCGTTGCAGACCGCGACCGACCGGTGCTTTCCGGGTCACTGTTGCAGGTCATGTTCACCCAATGGACATAACATCCGTTTTGGTGTCGCCCAGCCCCAAGTCGTACTTGGGTTGTTGTCCACTCAACAGAGGAGCGCCTCGGCAGTTCTTCGTACATTTTCCCTTTGGCCAAGAGGGGTTGGAGTTATTCGCTTCACTACCTCTCTGCGGAGAAGGACACCGGAACCTGATGTTCCTTTTCTTTACTTCAAAAACGGCCTAAGAGGTCTTCATTGTCTCAAGGTGAAGAAGAGAAATGTTTGAACCGGTACACTCCAAGGGTAGCGGCGCGGCGCAGCCAGCGTGGCTGTCACCCGGAGCTTCTGGACAGTTGGTAAGTTTGGGGTCGCGTGGCCGGGTGTATCTAGTGGTACTGCACGTGAGGTTCAGATGGATGTGTCCCACACTTTGAGCCATCCTGAGGCTTACACCCCCTCTCACATGGGAAAAAGATTTGTTTTTCCACCAAAGCATGTGCATAAAAAAAAGATTGGAGACAATGGGAGACGGACGATAGGAGTGTGTCTTGTTTATGCATGGTTATGTGTCTAAAGCCTAAAAACGGTGGAAGTTCTGCATCCTATGCGCACCCTGGGAGATCACATGTTCTCATGAAGGTCGGTTCGTATGAAGCCTCGACAGAGGCATCCAGAAAATAGAGACACTGTGATATGCAGCATGTCAGATCCTTTAGAGATTAGATTAGACTTTTCATTTGATGTTCTCTCTTCTTTTGGACTGTAAGACATTGAAAGCAATGTCTGAAACATGTACTTTCAACGTCCCCTTCGAAGCGCAAACCTTTGGACCGGGTCCTTTTGCCCTTGTGTTATTTCACGCCGAATATAATGCTTCACGTCCGCCTCGCTTCCTTTTTGACGCTCGCTCTGACAGTGAGGGCAACATCAAGACCTTGAGCGAGCGCGTCATCGAGCTCACCGAGTATCGGGCCTCCTTGTCGGAATATTTGAAGGCTCGACTTCCGGCGAGGGGTCCGAAGTGAGTTCTTTTTTTACTATTAGGTTGGAGGCGGTCGCTATTAGGTTGGAGGCCATCGCTAGTAGGTTGGAAGTCATCGCTAGTAGGTTGGAGGCCATCGTCAAGGCTATGAGGTGTGGGTGCTGGGTGACCCACTACCCTTTAAAAGCATGCGGTGGGACATGTGAACAACGAGCATTTTGTGGCACAACGAGCATACAGCTGTAGAGCCATTCTTTTTGTGAACATTTTGTGGTGCCAAGCAAGGGAAAGCCTGGTCCAAAGCGATTGTGGAGGATACCTCCCGTTCGTTGTGCAGCATAAGAAATGAGTTTCGGGTTGAGTCCGGTCCCAATGGTAGTTGTTGACATCGACTAGCTGTCCAGATGGGAGCTTTGGCTGCCAAACTCATCAATTCAACCTGAAACCAGTGCCATGCATAACCATGTGCAGTCCTATAAAGGCAAAGGTCCTGTAAAGAAACTTTGTTTCCCCCGACTACACCAACCACCCTATCCGGCCCTATCACCGAAACCACCTCCACCTCAGCCAGTCCCTTCCCTGGAACCTCTTCCCTCTTCAGCTGCGAATGACGGCCATTGCGCCCAACCTGACCTTCATGGTGGGCGAGCTCGTCGGCGCCCGACTCATCTCGCAAGCTGGGCACGGCCGCCCGGTCCAGCGCGCCTCCCGCGCCGCGCCGTGCTTTTCTCGTGTCGAGCGCCGCGTCGGTCGATGAGGTCGTTGATGAGTTTGGCGAAGCACCCCAGTAGCACTGTGCAGATTCTGGGAGCCGAGAAGGCGCGAAGAGCCCTTCTCGTGATGGGGGGTTTGTTTGGGAGCTCTTTCAGGCATGGCTTTGAACTACGGTTTGTGACTGGCTTCTCTTGTATCGTTGAAAGAGGCACACCAATTATATAGACCTGTCTTTGAGAGAGGCATACTTTTTGATCCTGATGGACATTGGCATTTACTGTACTGATCTGAACTGGAGATTTTTTCTTGATCCTTCACAACAAAGGCTGAGGGCACGGCTCACAAGAATGTGCTTTTGGGGCGGCCAAGATACTAGCGCCAGTTTCCACGGCAGCTAAAGCGATCCACATCGATCGGCAGAGTTTCCGCCAGATCTCTTGATCTCGTCTGCTTGGTCCGCAGTGGAGTTGGATCTCGGGTTGGGTGTTTCCAGTTCCCAGATTCCGACTTTCCCTTCCCTAGCGGCTTTTTTTCCCAGAATCAGTTTTTGGGTTCCCACTGAAAAAAGGGACCAAACCGACCGCACTCGACCGCTCTCGAGGCCAATAGAGCGACGCACCCGGGGGTGCCGACACGCGGAATCCGGGTCAAACCACCGGAATCCGGGGACACCTTTCGGAGCAGTATCGCAGTCCGAACGCCAACAAGGAAGAGATGGTGAGGGTCATCATGTGCCAGTGTTGTCACATGAGTCACATGAGTCATGACCGAACGACCACACCACTTCTACGGTCAACGGCCGCTCCGAGAGCCCCAACGCTCTCACCATTTCTACTGCTTTGAAAAACACAAATGCGCGACTGGTGCCCTGTGTTTTGAGTCTAGAGTCTTGAGCCTGAAAGCCCAGATAATGGGGAAGGGCAAAAAAAGAGACATCATTCCTGTAGGATATTCTCTAGCTCAGGTGCAGATCTTCTCTAGGTTCAACATCACTTGCTCAGTTGCAGCCTTGCTTGGCACCTGTCTTGGCTCATGGATTTGTGCAGGCGCTCTTCCGAGCCTTGAAGACGAAGAAGCAGACCCCAAAGCCAGGGCAGCCCAGTTGGCAACAAGGAACCAAAGCACAAACCCGCTCTCGGCATAGCGGAGGCACCGAAAAACTAGAAAAACATCCACCGAAAACACCGAAAACCCGGTCGTTTCTCCCAGCTGCTCACGCTCGCACGACGCACATGTGCGTGGGTGCCGCAGGTATGGGCTCATCTACCATGCCTCGCTGGTGGGTCAATCCGCTCCGGCCCTAAAGGCGAGACGGCGATCTTCTCCTTTCTCCTCCTCGTCTATCTAAGCTGCAAACGTGGTATATCAAACCCACCCACCCACACGACGACCACGACGACGACGACGACGACAACAACATTTTAGACTCCTGCAGGTGGGCGTCACGTTTGAAGATCAAAAACGATACATACGGAAGATACCAAGTCACCTGGAGGCAGCGCAGGAATCTAGTAGAACTATGCTGAATTCAGGGTTCGGTTCAGAAGAGAAGACTCCGAATCAGTGATCACGAATCAGCGACGATGAATCTCTCTACCAGTTGCCGCAACAGGGTTTGCTTCTTCGGGCCTGGCTCAGGGCTTCGCTTCTTGAGGTTCTTTGGGCTTGGCTTCAAACATCGCTGCTGTAGGGTTTCTTGGGGTACTTATTCAGGGCTTCCTTGGGTTTGGGTTTGGGTTGCGGCTTCAGCTTTTTCGGTTTTTTGTGGACTTGCCTCGACCCTTACTTCTTCAGGGTTTCTTTGTCTTGTGCCCGGGTGCGGAAGCTTCGGCTCAGCCGCTGAGCCGAAGCCATGTTTCTTGCTGCTTTTCTTCATGCCACTTTCTTTACTGTCGCAAAGAAAGGATGTAACAAATACCTGGTTGATGGACCATATGTTTTTGAAGAAACGGTTGTCCAGGTATGTCTTTCAGATCATGCCCGAAACTTTATGTTTTCTGCTGGAGCTACTTTGGAACCACCATGTGTTCCCCATTCGGTTTGTGTCCATATGGCATGGCATAATGTCAGAAATAGTGTGTTTGATCCTTTGTTCATCATTTTTCAAGAGGGTCCAGGAGTAAAAGCCAAGCAAGCAAAACACGTCAAAGCAAGATTTTTCAGTTGGTGGGTCTTCAAACAGGGAGGCCCTTGAGAGACAAGCCATTGCTTGTGCCCCTTCTCGACATTCCTTTATAACCCTATAATAGCAAGCTTTTCAAAACTCTACATTTATGTGGCTCCCCCGGGTCTTTGTGCATAAGCCCTTGGCCTTTGCAAGGTTTGTGTCTATTTCGAATGTGATAATTGGGTGTGCCATCACTGTGTTTAGTGAGCCTTCATCATTGGAGTGCCGCGCAGCGTGCAGGGGTCCTCCACCACCACCACCACCACCACCACCAACAACAACAACAACAACAACAAGAACAAGAACAAGAACAACAACAGCAACAGCAACGGCAACAACAGCAACAGCAACAGCAACTTGCTACACCGCATGTATGCATGTGAGAGCAGGCAGGAACCGCCAAATCGATGGCACTAACCAACGACAAGTTCAAAAGCATGCACTGGGTCGGTGACCGCGTGCGATACCTCGCCGAGCGTCGTGTGGTCCGTCCGAACGACCGAACGACCGAACGACCGAACGACCGAACGACCCGTCGTGGCGAAAATGGGGCGACCTGTTGGGGCTTGAGAACCTGAAAGACCTGACAGACCTGAAAGATGTTCATGCTCGCACGATGACTTTCCAACATGGATGGACACCACATGTTCCTTTTCCCCCGGCGAACGTGTCCTCTTCACGAACCAAGATCATTCCGAAAGGAGCATCCCCGGCCAGGGCAAGATCAGTCGCGTTTTGGCGGCGAAGCTGTCCTTGTGCTGCAGGGTGGATGCCTTGGGCGACCAGGCGTGTTAACAGGTTGCATGGTGGCTGAGGGTTTCCGGGTTTCCGGGTGAAGACGAGCGAATGAAAAGGCGTGGAAGTGTTCGAGGCCACACTCATGCATCATCAAAAGAAACACTGAAGGAGGTCAATGACAAAGCTGCAGCTCTTTGATTGGACTGGAGTGAGTCAACCGACCACATGTATGTCTGCCAAGGTTTCAAAGTGGAAATTGACCTCTTGGAAATGTGCTCCCTGAGAGGTACCGTTAGGTACTCACCAAAAGCAGCCTTGATCGTTCTCCTTTGTAATTCTCCACCCTAGTAGCGATGGCCTCCACCTAGTACAGCCGGTTGTGGCTTCCTTCCTCCCTTAGTTCTTGCCTTCCTTCTCGATTCTCCCCCTCACTGGTCTCCTTGTCAGTCAACACATCCTACACCGTGGCCAGGTGGAGCCGACCTTGGGTGAGGTTCGTTTCGGGTCGGGGGGGATGGGGCGAACAAACCCGTGGGGGGACCAGTTCTCATGGATGTCTTTGGACACCCAGAGAGAATTTGCATGAAAGCAGAACACCTGTTTTTGTTCAAAGCAATTGGTCACAGCAGAAAAGACTTCACCTTCCCTCAGACACCGAGCACGAACTCAAACACATACGACCTCTAACGACCGCCAGGCCCACGCGCCCATCCACAACCATCGGGACTCACCGGGCGCCCTTGATCGCCCTCGTCCGGTCAGGAGTTCAAGGAGTACGTGGAGAGGCGTCTGGCGACGTTGGAGGCGTCCGACGCCGGTGTCGCGGCGGGGCGTCTGGCTGTTTGGGGTGGACACCTGTCGCCTTGTTGGGGCTCTTTGGGGACCGAACCACCACGGGGCGCGACGAGGAGTGTTTTTCGAAGTCGGAAGACAGTTCCAGGTCCAGCTTGTTGTGGGGGTTGTTGGGGTTGTCGGGTCTAGGTGGTCGCGATTGAGCAAGGAGTTGAGAAGTCCTGAAGGTTCAAACAAAATTGGTGCTCTCCATTTGGAGTTTTCAAGTACCAAACGATATTTTTAGCGGTTTTTGGATGTCAAAAAAATTATCTTCATTCCTCCCGAACAACTCGTAGGGGGCATTGAGTTTGCAGTTTGCACCATGCTCACGTTGCTGGCTTCCTCGAGTACCTCGACATGGCCACGAAAGTCATGCGTCTGTGTAGGAGTTATTGGACATGAATGTAGGGTTTTGGGACCTCAGAAGGCAGTCTCTCTTGCAACCTTTTCTATATGGTAGATTCAGTTGCGAGCTAAGATCACTATTGGATCCAATCCGAAAATCAAGGCCTGTTCAACTTTGGGTGTCCGCCTTGATGTACTTCGAACAAAGCACTTGGGGCCCAAAGAAGCGCAAGAACCACCAGACCCGCGCAAGAAGCACCTGCACCTGGAGACCTGGACCTGGAGAGGCCCTCTTCTTAAGATCTTAGAAGGGACCTCAGCAAGTTCCAGTGCCCTTTCTGGTTTCCGGATTCCTACCGACCTGTGGAGCCGACCTGAAGTCCAGGAGGGCGGCATGAAGTCCCTCAGCAAGGGCATCAGCAGGCCGGGGGCTCCCATGAGTCCGGCGGGGTCTCAGGGGTGCCGGCCGTTCCAAGGGTGCGACATGGACTTTTTGGTCCTGGTTTTCTGGGATTTTCAGAGGTTGGTCAAGCGGCCTCAGTTCCAGGTAAATACCTTTCATCCTTTGGTCCATTACTAATACTGATTACTTGCTGACTAATCTTGGCGGCGTGGTGCTAGGGTTCATGTGGTCAAGCATGGTCAAGCATGGTCAGGCTCATAGAAGTACCATACCCCAGGCGAGAAAACGGAAAAAGAGACATGAATTCATTTTGTTGAACCTGGGATGTTTTCCTTGGTCTAGCATGCATGATCTAAAGGGCAGTGGGGAGCATCGGCTTCGACGGTCAAAACATCTTGGTGCTTACCGCTCGCTAGGAACATTATATTTTCATCCAGACCCATTGGATATTGTGCTATATAATTGTATATGTACCTGGTCAAAGTCATTTTGACTTTTCTGACGTCATGATATGATATGCGAGGCTGCTTGTACGGATGCGGAGCAACCAGAGAGGGGGTGCAGCGTTTGTGAATTTCATATAGACCATTAGACACCACAATACGCTACATGTTTCTTGCTGACAGAGTTTGGGCAAGAGTGACCGTCTCCCCCTGGTCCTCGTCGTCGCTGTCATTGCGGCTCTACAAACGGAGCACCAAGCAGAAGAGGCCCACAGCAACTTCTCCTTGTGGTTCCATATGTACACTTTGAGCTATCTGGGGCCTCGACGATGATCCGTGCTTCTTTGCCAACACTTTTTCGAGCCCGGAGCTTTCAGGCCCACGGCTGGAAAGCACCAGAAGAAGCCAGGGGTGCCCATTTCTTGGGACAACGCGAGGATGATGTGATTTTCGTTTGTTTTCTTGCCTTTGCGAGTATCAGAGACATGTTTTTTTCGACTGTTGGATACCTTGAAGATGGGTTTGCTGTAGGTTTTTTCACGGTGGAACCCAGCGCTTCATGGGGGCAAGAGTACAGATACTTTTTCCCAACGGCAAAGCTTGGGGGTCTTCAGCCATAGTAAAGGCAAATTCCGAAGCAAGTGCCCAAGCAGGTATTGAAGCAGCAAGTTGCATAGGGTGTTCCGGAGCAGGTTCTGGAGCAAGTTCCGGAGGAGGTACAGGAACAGGTCTGAGCAGCTTCTGGAGCAAGGCTCACAGCAATTTCACAGATATGCTGATATGCTGTTTTGCTGACATATGCTGACATTGTCATGGCGTAAGCCATCAGACTACCATGCTTGTTTGGTGGGCGCTGTGACGCGGACATTCGCAAACATGCCGTCATGCTGTTTTTGCTGGCATGCTACCAATGGTGTCACGCCGACATGTTGATGCGCTGTCACCCGATATGATGTGTTGGCATGTTGCATATATCGCTGGCAGGCGGACGTGTAGACACGCTAGCTTGCTGTCATGCTGACATGCTGGCGTGGCGTCGCGCTGACATGACATGCTGTCGGGCTGATGTTTTGCTGCCGTGCTGGCATCCTGGCATGCTCCGGGGCGCCGTCATGCTTGCACATAGGTGGGCATATGTGCAATGCCAACATGACTGCCGTGTTGTGAAAAGCACCTTTTCATGCCCAGCTGTTTGCGTTTTGAGTTTTTGGTCTATTCGGGTTGCCGGCGCCAGTGGCCCTCAGAGGGAGTAAATGAAGTCTCCATAATCACACTTTTTTAAAACCATCTGACAAACTGCTTAGTGGTGCCTTACTTGCAATTTGCAAACATTGTTGGATCTATTTTGCTTCCCAATTGTACCTTTTGAAGGGGTCGAAAAGTAGAGTAATTATGCGCAATAGATTCCACAATGTACATGATCGGACAAGACTTAGAGATGAACGTGGCGTGAAGTGTATGATATCCCGGCAAGAGACCCCAAACAGTGTGTGTGAGGTTTACAAGCAGAAAGCCTAGTGAGTGTGAGTGTGAGTGCTTCAAATCATAGGCTTTTTGAGCAGAGGACCAGGGCAGATACATCGCCGCCTGGTCAACGAAGCTGGCGATGTATCTGAGGATATGGAAATGGGGCGCCGTTTCGCCGTACCTGCTCTGCTGTTCAGGAAAACAGAATGAAATGGTTCGTCGGTGTACTTGTGCGTCGGTTCCTTTCCTTCTGTTTTTCCTCTATTCTACTCTAATGGGGTGATTCATTTTGTCTCACCGCTAGCTAGGAACAGGAGGCTTCTTTTCTTTTCACGCTACTCACCTACTGATAGGTTTGCAGGTAGGCCTCCAAACTTGTAACGGGGGCCTTCAACCTGGATGCGATGGCCTCCAACCACTAGCAATGGCCTCTAACCATGGCTATCTTGTGTTTCTTGTGTTTCTTGTCACCAACCTACGAGCCATGGCCCCCCAAACGGGTTCGATGGCCTCTAACCTAAGAGCGAGGACCTCCAACTTTGACTGTTTTGCAGTCTCGCTTCTTGTCACCAACCTACTAGCGATGGCCCTTCAACCTGCCTTCGACGGCCTCCAACCTAAGAGGGATGACCTCCACAGTCTCGTTTCTTGTCACCAACCTACTAGCGATGGCCCCTCAAGCTGCCTTCGGCAGACTCCAACCTAAGAGCAATGACCGCCAACTTACTTATCTTGTTTTACTCAGGCCCTTTTTTACCTAGGTTTCCGTGTGGCATGTGGCATCCAGATCAGTACGCGCGTCAATAAGTGTGTCTGACCTTAGTGTCAGCCCAGGGTGACCCCGAAGAGTGGCCCCTGTGGACCCGTTGAACGGGGGTTTGTATCGATCTCCACTGCCCAGATATGTACGTGTCCAGAGCGGACAGGAGGAGGCTTAAGCCACTGGGGGAAAAATACAAGAAGACTGTGCAACCCCTCTATTCTTGTACCCTTTTACAAATTGTTTAGTTAGGTCTTGTCTGCAACTTGCACGCACTGTTGGATATATTTTTCGACCACACTTGAAGTGGCAGATCTTTTTCAGAGGGTCGAAAATAAATATCCAACAATGCATGCAAATGAATACTTCTTTGACCACCTGAAAATCCAAAGTCAAGGGGGTCCAAAAACGAGTGTATATAACGATAAGCTGTACACTGTGCAGGATCGACACAAAAGATAGAGATGATCACAGCGTGACATGGATGAATACATGAACAAATCCCTGTAATCACCCTATTCTTGGACCGTGTTACGAATGGCTGATGTTTTTCTCACCACAATTTGTAAAGATCGTTGGGTGTACTTTGTGAGCCCCTTGAAATTGTTCCAAATAATGTGATTTTGCAAGCATCTTGCACAACAAACTTTACATTTGCGCCAGTTGATGCATATGACATCATAATGAACGATACAATTGCAACCAACTGATGCATATGATGCAATCATGGAATCGTTTGTTTGCCTTTCATGGACCTGGTGATGCACATGATGCGATAAAAACAAATCTAGTCAAACATAGACATAGCTGATATGTGAAACCCATATGCATATGCCTTCCATGTTTTCTTCCACCCGTCGTTTTTCAGACACACCTCCTGATGCAGGATATGCATTTTCGTTCCCACGAAAAGGCACCTTCTGGCTTAAACTAATCAGCGATGAATGCGCTCTGACCGTGATACGCCCCTCTCAGCACCTTCGGCGCGGGCGGATTTAGAAGATAGCGGTTGAGGCCTTATTATAAGGGCAATGTCACAGTCATGTTGGTCCGGGAACCGTCTTCCCATACACATGCATGTCCTGATTTTCTGCATTTCATGCAGCCCTTATCGGAAAGTCCTATCATCTGAGGCCCTCGGTGAGAGGCAGCGGTGCTGCGCACAGCGCGGAGGACGACGTGGTCGAGGCTGGTCAACGGCCAAACGGCGGGGACAGTGAGATGGCGGGGACAAGATGCACTCTCCGGTGCCCAGCGATTGACTTTAGAAACCGCAGTTGCACCTCCAGCCTCCAACCTTCTGCCACGGTGCTCCTATGGTGGCACGGTGCCTCTCTCCAGACAGGCGCCCAAGAAGCGGAAGGCCAAGGCCGTTGAGGCCGAGGCGGAGGCGCCCGAAACCCGAGCCTCTGACCGGGCGTGTTTGACCATCAAAAAAGGGACCCGTCAACCTGACCGGTCTGAGGCAAACGTCAGGTGTTTGGGGTTGTGGTTGTTTTCTAGGACAACCGAATGGACAAGTGCATCGTGGGCTCTTCGTGAAACTCCCCCCCGCCATCTATCACCAACGAGAAAGATCCTAGAAACCGGGATGAAGGACGTCTTGGGCTTCCGTCAAACAAGGCCCCGATCGGTCGCAGGTGGTGCAGGATTTCTTTCTGAAAGTCTCGAGTCTGAGCGGATTGACCGAACAACCGAACCTTTGCGCTGACCCACTGCAACAGGAAGAAGCTGAAGAAGCACCGGCGCGGGTTCCCACGGGGGTGCCATTCTGGGAGCGTGGAAACATACAAATGAATCGTCTCAAACTTTAGCCGGAAAGGGTTTGTGGTGGAAGACTCGTGACTGGTAGGTGTCAGTCTGACTTTCAATCACCCAGGGCCTTTAGAAGCCTCAAGAAATGGAGTCGTGGCAGTCGTGGGAGCTCCGTGTCGAGCGGATTTTTATTGGGGGAAGATCAGTGAGGCAGGAGGACTGGGGCGGGGGCCTCACACAAATGAGCATACCTCAGTTTTTGTGGAGTTCCATGAAGATTCCCTATAATATAGATACAAGATGATGCAAGGGTCGGCATTGACATCCATGGTAAGTGGAAAGAACACCCCGGCATGCCCAAGCCGGTGTTCATTAATCGCTCCTGATTGATCAAAATACGTACTGCAAATCACAATGTTAGTCTTCTGGGGAGCAGGAACCCCTCACTCCAAACCGCCATGTGGACTGGCCGACGAATGTGTTCGATGTGACCACGTTTCGCGCGGGTCCAGCGGGACCGCCGAAGCGAACCCAATTCTCGACCGACGGCGACACGGTCTCGACCAAGGCACCGAAGAAGAAAAAGAAGAAGAAGGTGGTCGAAGAAGAGGCTGAGTAGGCGCACCGCAGCCAAAACTGCAGCGAACTCTGATTGGATTGCTCGTTTGGAAGCACGGTCCGTGACCAGACCGGATTAAAGATCCACGTTCTTTGTTTTAAATCCTGTTTGGTGGACCTCTCCTTTTCACATTTCGAGCTTTTGCTTTTCCGGCATTCTTGAATTTCCTGACAAATATGTTTTAACATCATACTATGTTAAGAACTCATTGATTGCCATGAACATGATCCGTTTCAGGCCACCCAGGACCCAGGCCACCTACCTGTTTGTGCTGTTTTGATGTTTCATGTGTCAACAACGATGTGTCTACCTCACCCACCCAGCTCCGTCGAAGGCTTCTGCAAAAAGCTCCGGCGGGGGGCTTTTTCCAGTATGACGTTCAACAGTGCTGCTACCTACTTACCCACTCTGAAGTTCAAACAGTATTGTAGCTACCTGACCTGGCCTTACCTTGACTGTAGGTTCAAACGTGCAAGCAAGTACCAGGACCACCTCTGAGGTAAACGAATGTTGTCTCTTTCTTCGGAAACTGCACAATCCTCGTCTTTGGACCGTGTTTTGGGTACCTCATCACTACCATGCTGATATGGATTGTGCGTGGCAACAAAAAAGAAGGACTACGATTCCTTCTCGACCCTGAGCCACCCTGAAGTTCCAGACCCGTTGCGATGACCTCCTTGGGCCCCGTAAAAGAGGTTTCGCGCCTGAGTGAATGGCATTTCAACCAGGTCACATCAGCAAGACAAAGGCATATCGAATTTGTACACATACATGATATATTGTATATGTATTATAGGTATATATATATATATTATACATAGAGATAGGTGATCATGGGGTGAAAAGAGATGGACGTGATACCTTCTTTCGTGGGAATGGAATTCCGGGTGTTCTTGAACTTATGAAACGAGGAACGTCGCTAATGATTCGTCCTGTTGTGATTTGTTAGTTCAACAATTCAAAGTCTTTACGATCACAGAGTTCTTTTTGTGGAACACCTATTGCTGTTGCGGACCCGTTTCAACCATTCAAGTGTTACTGTAATTCTGACCGCCTAACACTAAAAATGTTTGCCCCGAAAACCAGGCACTGATACAGGGACATTGTCAAGTCATATCATCAAGGCCCCCCCCGTGGAACAAAAGCCCTGCACGGCGTGCGCCGTCTGGTGGCACAATGAAAGAACTCCGCAGCTTTTTAGTGAACGGTTCCTGTTCGGATCCTTTTGGGGGTCAACGAATCTCAACTGCATATTCTTCCCGACGTTTTAGTTGTGAAGGCCACCATCCCGAGAGAAACGTTTTTCCAATACATTTTTAGTGGGGATCTACTTTTCTATCCATTTAGGGGGTTTACATAGGGAGGAGCAAGGACGCTACTCGGGGCTCCTGGCCTTACTAGTAGGAACAAGAAGCTACCTTAGGGGCTCCTGGCATCGCTACTAGGAGCAAGGAAGCTAGTAGGTTGGAGGCCGTTCTCTCGGAACATCAAACCAGTTGAGCTTCCAGGTTTGGATGCCGACGAAGATGTCAACCTCCCCGCGGCCGAACGACTCCACGTGGGTATGGCCAGAGAACTCGTCATCTAAACGAGTTGCAGAACTCGTCATCCCCCGGATCCCTTTGAATCTGAGAGCGGCCATCCCCAACTGATCAGTTTGAGGTTTCACCCGCAAAGCCAAGAGGATGCGAAAAGAATGGCTTTGCGGGTTGGATGGCGGAAGGTGGCGGTCTTTGCAACAAACCTTCGACCTCTCGGGACCCCAAAAAGCGAAAGAGCTTGATATGGAGGATCATAGAGGATCCACCGCATGATCCACCCTTTGAAGAATGCGGCTTGCGACTTTATCAACATCTTATGGGGCTCGACCAGCATGAAGGATCTAGGCCACCGTTGAACGTTGTGATCGTGACTCGAGCATGCGACATATCAGGTCGGGAGTGCCTAGACTTACAGCCATGATCTCTGTGGTTCTCATCAAGACTTTGGCCATGCCCCAGAGTGACCTGGTCGTCACCAGTCACTTTTCCCTCCCATTTGTGGCAGCACCCAAAGCTGTCTCCAGCTGTCTCCTGCGTGCGAAATCTCGAACCCCCTGGGTAGGCAAGCACCTGTGGGGGGGCCAAAACACCCTGAAGAGCCCTCAAAACACGGATCTCTTGCAAAGAACCCCCCAAACCTTTGAGTGACGCAGCCCATGTTGGCCTGGATGTAGTCGTTGGAGATGACGGTGAGCCGGTCAGTCGGGTCGCCAATGATGACACCTCGCAGCGTTCACCCACGCTCCCTGTAGTTTGTGCGTTTTTGTGGTTTGTGCACCCTTTTTTTCACCAAAAGACTGCAAGGTGATGCTGAGTGTGTGTTCTTCACCATCAAGGCAGATGAAACCAGGTTTCCAGTCCAAACAACCCAGACTTCTCCACTGATCTTCGTGCTCCCTCTCCCCTTCGGTGGTTCCATTGCACCCCACCATGGCGAACAACTTGACGATGGCAACGGAGCCGTTGGGGTGCTTGGTTTGGTGGACGGTCTTCGCGCGCGCTGGGAAGTCGGGTGGGACGTCGGAAGTGTCTTGCCCAGCGACAAGAACGAGGCAATGAACCAGTGGAAGCTCTTCTTTCTGGGGCACGCTGGATGAAATCATGAGGTCTATATAGCTAGAGATTCCGAGTTTAATTAGCTAGAAATGAGTGCTCAAAGGTCGGTGTTCGATTTTTGGGAAGAGGGTGATTTGCCTGGAACTTGTTCCCGATGCCAAAGAACTGGCAGGTGGGTACGTCATCATTGCATGCTTCCATCCACTTCTGAACCAGTCAAGGCCTACCTAACTTTTAAGCAGAGTTTGTCTCAAGAGGAGAAGATTCCCGTGACCGAGGGGGGGTCGGTTGCACATTTTTGTACCAGGGATCTTGTACATTCTTTCATCTTAAAAGCAAGACTTGGAACCCCATCCCAAGCTGTCTAAGCCGGTGGCTGTTTCACTGTGGCAGTGAAGCAAGAGCTTGGTTGTGCCCAAAGTCGCCAGCTTGAGCTTGATCTGTTAAGCTTCATTGGCCATGTCTAGTCCTGTCTACTTCACCAGGACTCTTCCATGGTTCCTTTCCCCCTGCCCCCAAAAACACACCGCGAGGCCCACTCGTTCAACGGAACGTGAGGCCCACTCTGTCCGCTTGCTCACCCGAGCGAGCCGAGGAAGATCTGCGAGCCGGGGGGGCACCGGCCTCCTCCTGCCGTTGTCGCAGAGCGAGCAGACCATGCCGAAAGGAGCGCGCTTGGGGGCCCTGTCCGCGAACGCAGCGGAGCGGAGCTGGAGCGCTGGTGGTTTCAAGCTGCGCAGGGAAAAGGAGCGACAGAGACCGCCGGACGACAGGAATCGGACGACAGTCCACCTCTTCCCGAATGCGTAGCGAAGGCGTTCGTACCTTTGGGGATGCAGAGCCGTGGTAGAGCTGTGCTCATTCAACTCATGTGGACTGTTTTTGGGTGGCGCAGCAATGACGATTGACACTAAGCTGTAAGCTTTCACATGCTTTCACCATAGTCAAGCTAGTTTGACCCAAGCAACATCAAGCAACCAATTTCTGCCCCACACCTTCGCATACCCTTCGCATTCCCTTCCCCTCACCTTGGCCGGGTTGGTCTTTTTTTTTGAGGGTCCGTTTTCCACTTCTCCGAGGTGCCGTGATGTATATCCTTCTCCTCTTGTACATGTTCATGGGCGTTGGGACCGTGGCCGATTGTTTTATGAATGCCCGGACGCCCAAAGGCCAAAGGCTCCCCAACGGGGGCCCGAAACGTCGGGGGGGGAGGAAACGGAAGCGCGTTTGTTCCGAACGGATTTCGGTGGATTGGAACGACATTTGTACTGATTGGGGGTGTCCTATATTTCCTGTAACGGTCATTCATTACCACCTCTTTTTTGGAGGAAGGCCTTTACTAACCATCATCATCCACTGTTACAGGGAATAGGATACACCCAAATGTATCGACGCATTTAGATCGACGGCCCTCGGCCCCCCCCTCACGAACCCCAAATTTGGTTGTAATACCATGTAAGTACCTGTAGGTACATGTATACGTACACCTTCTTAAGCTCCTTTCAAATTTCCACCCCAACCTTTGTTTAGTGTTTTTGTCAAAGTCACATGCCTTCCAAACAGCACAGGAACTGGTGACTGGTGTATTTCTCAAACTTAGCAGGCTTTGTGAAGGTTATCCCTTCACCTACTCATTTGTTCGCATCCCAACTTTCGCGTTCGAGTTCTTTTCCGCAGGTCACCCCGCTGTTCTGGTTTGTTCTCCCGGTTCAAAACACGACCCATCAGGCCGTTGAGAAGATTATCAGCAAGAAGAGGCCGGGACCCGTGCGAGGATCTGACACAAGGGACCTGGGTGTGGCGCGCAAGCGCTTTCGATGGGTTGCTTTGGATGGAATGAGTTCCAAAGAGAGCAAAAAACTGGGCAGCATGGGCAGGCAGCATCAGTCAGCAGTGGCTTTTTCAGGTGACATCGACATTGGATGTTTTGTGACAAAAAAGACACATCGACATTCGTAGCTTTCCTGCGGTTTCCTTACCCTCGAACTTTTCAGGTCACCTGTTTGTGGGATCGGGGCAAGTTCTGATTCTTATGGTCAGTCCAAGTTGAGTCTATCACAGATCGATGCCGAAGATCCTCAACAAATGAGCACCGTGGACCTTGGAGATCATCAAACCACATGAATAGTGCGAGCGCGAGCTATCCTGCGTCCTACCTAGGAGCTTACCTCCTTAATTAAGTAGGCGCCTACTTCATTAAGTAAAGGGTGAGGGCACCTCGGGCAAAAAAAAAAGTCTTACTGCGACTCCCAGGTCAGGTTGGTCAAGCACTGCTTCAGTGCTTTGTGTGCTTTTTGCGCCAAAAGACTTCGTAGTCTTTGAGGAAATACAACACACCACCAAAATCCACCAAAGATCTGGGCTGCTTTTTGGCGCTCCTTGATCTTTGACGACTGCAAACATGAATAAGAATGGTCCGTATTCTTTTTTTGGGGGGAATTTCCAGCTGGTGCCGGTGTTTTGGGGACCGACACGAAGAGACCGACGTAGGAGGGACAGACTGCGCTGTCTTCGCAAGATCGTCGTCTCCGAGGGCGGGAGTTCATGCTAGAGTTCGGGATCCGGCCTGGAAGGGTTTTCGGTGATTTGGTGATCATTGGGTGACCTACCTGTGCTTCGCCATGAGTTTCTGAAGAACACCGTTTCCAGTGTCATTTCTCCTTTTTTGCACACGCGATTTCTCACGATTGTGACCCCTCCCAGGCGGGTCTATCGTGAGCAGAAGCAACGGATGGTGACCTACCTCGCCCAGAAGCCGAGAAAAACCGTTGGAATCCACTTGCTTTTCTTGCACGGAACATGAATCCATATGGATGACCACGTTGATGCCTTCGAGCAGTAAAACAACACCAGGAAGAAAAACTTCACTTCGGGGATTTGACACCCAAAGGGTATAAGGGAATTCGGCCATCAAAGTGTCCTTCAAGCAGTTTTTTCACACCCGCAGCATCCAACAAGGTGGATTTGCGATCAGCATGCACCGACAGTGAGCATCTGACCAATCAACGGAAGGGTCCACGTAGATATACATACATATATATATATATACACACGATATGCATTGATATGCTGCTGTACTTTTTCTGGATGGGAAGCTGAAAGCTCTTCCAAGTTTGAGATCTTGGTGCTCCCTCAGGTTTTTGGACCCAGTCAGCAATTATTGGCAACAGGTAGA